TTCTATTTATATTTCTGTACCATTGTATGTTATGATTCTTATCTGATTTTCTTTCTTGGTGGAAATGTACTTCCTACTCTTCCATTCCTGTGCTCCCTGCTGACATAGCTGAGTAACATCCACTTTATTTCTTCATTATTCACACAGACTGATCTTTTCGGTTACAGATTATACTGGATAGTGCAATCAATTTTAGACACACAACACAAATACTATAACAGGACAGAAAAGGAAAGAGTATGAAAATGGAGGCAATTAGCAGGTGTTAGACAAAATGGTCCCTGAGGCAAAAAGTAAAGTGATGACCCTATATGCTGATATTGTGTACAGTGTGATGGGGATGTCGTAAAAGAAAGGGAAGCCTATGTATAAAAATATAAAAAGTAAAGTGTACAGCTTGTGTGGTCAGTTTCAGAAATCAAAATATGGGTGTGTGCTTTTAACAGGTGCAGCCTTTCAACCTCTACATGCTCAGAATGTAACAATGCTTCCTTAGTAGAAGCATATGATCTCTTGCATTGAGCAGCAATATACAGCTATATTAACCAGAGGCAATACTTTGTTGGATGTAGAAGAGGCAGAATGGATTATAGAAAGTGGGCCTCAGAAATCTTCAACAAATATCCACCATATTCAGAATCAAAAACACCCATTGCTGTGCAATATTACTTGCCATAGCAGTTGGCTGGGTCCTTAAAGCATATGCCATATATCTTCACAAAAACATGTGCATATATAACATTTTCTTGGATATTCCATGTAAAGCAAGCTGTGGATGGAGAGCATACAGAGAGGAAGACCTTTAGACAGAGGAGAGAGATAGTTATGGAACTAACACTTTTTTAAAAAACCTATCTTAAAGAAGAACATTCAAACAGTTGGGGACTACAAAGCAACTAGCAGCAGTGTCTAGAGAGAAACTAGTTTTTCAGCACAGGAACTGTTCTACGAAATTTGAAAAAAAGTATGGGACATGTGGCTTGCTATTCCTGGCCTGGACCCAACTTCACTTGTTTTGCACTCTCCTGTTCTGGTTGTGTACTGCCTGGCATGTCTCTCATCATACTCTTATTGGTTCTGGTGTTCCCAGATAGGAATTGATAACTATAGGATAACCTGTAAGATTGTTTATTGTAATAATCCATATGGTATGACACATTTTACTTTATTGTAATGACAGATACAGTAGGCACTTTATATAGTTTGGTCTTTATTTTTGTTTTTATATTGGTTGTCTGTGCTATTCAGGTCTTGACATCATACGTGAGGTACTCCATGATTTTATTATGTGTACAAAATTAGAGAATGATTGTTTAATAACCCATAAGGAAAAATATACTTGAGGATTGACCTTGTATGGAAAATGTGTTTTGACTTGGAAAGTATGTTTTCTTTTGTTGAAAAAAAAAAAAAAAAAAATGTAATTAAGAATTATCTGATAAAAAAAAATCATAACACATGCAGCAGTCAGGAATATGTACCATGTAGTGTATCAGAAGTTTGCAACCCAAAACAGTGTGTAGCGTGCAGTGGTCAGGAGAATGTAAAGTAATGGCTTTTATATTACTGGAGAAAAAAATGGCCAATGTCAATGGACACTGTAAACAAACTGGTATTAGTGGTCTCTAGGTAGTGAAAATTAAATAGCATAATAAATCAGAAAATATGCCCCAGCATATGTGGTAAGGTGATAAGTAGGAGGCAAAAATTCCCAGGATGGGTGTTAAGTGAAAAAAAAAAAAGCTGTGGAGTCAGTAGTCATTGTTAAGACAAATACCCCAATGTTTGTGCCAGTGGGAAGTTTGTGCCACAGTCATTGGTGTCAATAGGAATATGCATTCTTCCATCTCACTCCCATACTGCTACTTGAGTACCAAGACAAGCTTGTTAATAATCACAAACAACTGCAAGTAATTGCAGAGCTTGGGTGGTTTTTCAACAATTACGAAGTTGCCTGTTGTCTCAGCTACTGGACTCTGAGATTGTAACAAAATAATCTGGCCAGAACATGGAGTTTGCTGTAGCAGCTGCTATGGCCCCTGTCAGGCAGCAAATTGCAGTTGCAATAATTTGGCGTTTCAGCAAGAGCAGATCAATGATTTGCAGAGACAACTACTGTTTAGTGCACCTGTTTTTTTGAGCATACTACTACTTAGCTTTCACTACTTGTGTACCAAATCCAGCCTGTTTATAACCACAAACATGCCTATTGTTTCAAGTACTACACTCTGAACCTGGTCTCAGATAGTGACAGCTAACTGCGACCTTGGAGGTAGTAGGGTCTATGGGCAACTTCCCAGTCCCCCTCACCGTTGACCCTGGCTGCTAGTACAATGATTATCTGATTGAATATATATTTCCATGTCTTTAACCACTTGCCCTCCTGAGGATTTACCCCCCTTCCTGACCAGGCCATTTTTTGCATTGCGGCGCTGTGTTATTTTAACTGACAATTGTGTGGTCATGCAATGCTGCACCCAAATGAAATTTACATAATTTTATTTCCCACGAATTGAGCTTTCTTTTGGTGGTATTTGATTGCTTGTGAGTTTTTAATTTTTTGCGCTATAAGCAAAAAAGTCTGACGATTTTGAGAAAAAAAAAAACAATATTTTTGGACTTTTTGCTATTAAACATGTCCAGTAAAAGAATTTAAAAAATCTAATTTCATTATAAATTTAGGCCAAAATGTATTCTGCGACATGTCTTTGCTAAAAAAAAATCCCAATACGTGTAAATTAATTGGTTTACGTGAAAGTTATAGCGTTTTCAAATGGCGGTATAGATAATGGGATTATTTTGTTTTTTTCTGGCATGGAGATGCTCAGTGACTTTTAGCGGAACTGCGGGACTGCGACGGACATTTTGACACTGGGTGGAAACTAACTTGGTGTCACTGACACAAACAGTGACATCAATTCAGTGGTCAGTGCTAAAAAAAGCACTGACAGTGTACTAATGGCACTTTGGCAGGAAGGGGTTAATGTGAGGGGCGATCAAAGGGTTAACTGTGTGCTGGGAGTGTTTTACTAGGGGGCGGGGTGTTCTTCACTGTAAGCACACTGATCGGGATGGCTGTACTGTTCACAGCCATCCCAAGCAGTGTGCGGGAGCTGACAGGGAGAAAGATTGCTTGTAAACAAGACAATCTTCCTCCCCGTCGGAGATGCTTGGTAATCATCAGGCTCCGGCGGGTAATTACCGGCTGGGACCTCTACCCGGAAATGCAAAATGACGTATATATACGTGATTCTACGCACAAGTGCCACCCTGTAGCAGTATATCTGCTATAGGGCAGTCCTTAAGCAGTTAATGGGCTTTACATATTTGTTGAGTTTTTTTAGCTTGGGGTAGGTTTATTTCAAATAAATAGTATCATGTATTTCTGTTTTATAGCACTCAATAAAATTTGCATGACCTGTCATTCGTGCACTGCACCATGTACATATTCAGGTGAACTGGTGCACGCTAAATCTCTTCTGTGTCTTGTATGATGAGATATCTGTACTATGCTTTCATATAATGAAACTCTGTATGACCATTGTGTTGATAATGAAAATAATTAATGTTTAGAATTCTCTTCATGCTTTTAGATCATTAGCTCATTTTATTTGAACAATATTTAATGTATCATTTTTGTTATATTTACCAATTAATCCACAATAGCTTTATTTTACATTTGCATATTCACAACACTTTAAAGCTGAACTCAATGCAGATACAGATGACACACATTCATTCAGCTCAGAACACATTTATACATTATTAAGGGGGGGGGGGGGGTTTAAACAGTGTAAGGATCTAAATTGACCTGGTATCAGCCTCTTGAAGTTTGTGTATAACAATGCTGGAGTGTAGTAGGAAGTAGCAGAACATAAAACAGATCATGTGCTGACAAAGAAACATGTTCATAGGAAGAGAAAGCAGAGTGAAAGAGAGATAAGCTCATTGCTGTGCTGCTTCTCCTTTCACTGTCCGGTCACAGGCTGGGGGTGGGTCCAGTAGAACCAGGACTCAGATGAAGTTGGTTGAATGATACTGGACATCTAACAGAAGTCCAGTGGGAAAGAACTTTGGATTGAAAATTAATATTGTAGCACAAGCTGTTTTTTTTAATTATCTTTCAATGAACTATTTATTTTTACTTAGTTACAGTATTTTTGGCTGATATTTTGCTTTAACTGCGCTTTCTTGCTGAATTTTCTCCATGATAATATTTAGCATGCAAATAAGTACCTGATTACATTACATAGTAATTACATTACATACATTACCTATATACATTACCTACTGGTAAAAACAAGACGAAAAGTTCTCTATAAACATAAAGCAGTATTAAACCAAAAAGCAAACCTTTATTATATTACAGCTTACCAAGTCTTAGATGTGATGACCTGATAATTCAGCCAGTAAATCTGTTCTTTTTCAACAGAACAAGCTCCCCTTCAAATGTAGCAGTTAGAGGGTTGATACAAACTATTTACCACTGGCAGGAGTGCTTACAATGGTTTGCTTTTATTCACTTACTGTAAACAACTTTATCATAAAAGGAAAATAACTGTTGCTTTAACTACTTGTGTAAATGCAGTGTGAGCTGGAGTTTTGCTTTACTTTGTTAGTGTATCTGCTAGTACATTTACCCCCCCCCCCCTCCAGACTGACAATGCTGCTGTCTATTGTGCCCCCTGTGCTCATTCATTCAGAGTTGTGCCTCTCTAATACCGAAATTGTGTTACTGGCCAGATCATCAGGTGAAAACAGAGGGAAAAAGACTAAAAATAAGAAAACTAATGATGTGGCCACCACATCTAACGATTGGTAAGCTGCAATATATTACCTTTTTGGTTTGGGGTTTAATACTACTTTAAGTACTGTCCATAGTCACCAACTTGATTCTTTTAATTTACAGAGAGAATAGAAGATAAAACTTGAGTGGTTGCTTTGGCTAAGTTCTCCACTTTTCCTATGTTTTATATGATTCATGTATTGTTGAATTACAGGGTTTATTTAGCTGAGCTGCTTGGGATGAAACACTACATGGATGTCATGATGCTTTTAACGAAGGTGGAACATACAGAAGCTATTTCAGATGAATATGTTACTGTCACAGACACATCATTCAACAATGTTCCTGTGAGATTATATGTGCCTAAACGACAATCAGAAGCACTAAGAAGAGCTGTTATCTACATTCATGGTGGTGGATGGTGTTTAGGAAGTGCAAGTAAGTGGCATGTAATTAATGATTTGTGTGGCATTGTCATCTAATAAGACATACTGAAGAAGACAAAAAATTCTGCTGGAAAAAATAAGCATTTATTTCTTTTTAAAACCTTTCTAGCTAATGATGACAAAAGTAAATGAACATATGACAAAAGCTGCCATATACATTATATGGCCAAAAGTATTGGGACACCCCTCCAAATCATTGGATTCAGGTGTTCCAATCACCTCCATGGCCACAGGTGCATAAAATCAAGCACCTAGGCATGCAGACTGGTTCTACAAACATTTGTGAAAGAATGGGTCACTCTCAGGAGCTCAGTGAATTCAGCGTGGTATCGTGATAGGTTGCCACCTGTGCAATAAGTCCATCCGCAAAATTTCCTTGCTACTAAATATTTCACACTCAACTGTTCACAGTCAAGTGGTATTATAACAAAGTGGAAGCAACTGGAAATAACAGCAACTCAGCCACAAAGTGGTAGGTCACGTAAATGACAGAGCGAGGTCAGTGCATGCTGAAGTGCGCAGAAGTCGCCAACTGTCTGCAGAGTCAATAGCTAAAGACCTCCAAACTTTGTGTGGCCTTCAGATTAGCACAACAACAGTGCATAGGGAGCTTCATGGATTGGGTTTCCATAGCAGAGCAGCTGCTTCCAAGCCTTACATCACCAAGTGCAATGCAAAGCGTTGGATGCAGTGGTGTAAAGCACTTTGCCACTGGACTCTAAAGCAGTGGAGATGTGCTATCTGGAGTGACAAATTGCGCTTCTCTGTCTGGCAATCTGATGGATGTGTCTGACAGAACACCTTTAGGATAAATTAGAGCGGAGACTGTGAGCCAGGCCTTCTCTTCCGACATTAGTGGCTGACCTCACAAATGCATTTCTGGAAGAATGGTCAAACATTCCCATAGACACACTCCTAAACCTTGTGGACAGCCTTCCCAGGAGAACTGAAGCTGTTATAGCTGCAAAAGGTAAGCCAACTCAATATTGAACCCTATGGACTAAGACTGTGATGCCATTAAAGTTCATGTGCGTGTAAAGGCAGGCGTCCCAATACTTTTGGCAATATTGTGTATAATGGGAAGAAAATTAGGTGTCCCCAAAGGAACGAATCAAATTTTAGCTGTAATTTGTAAAGCTGAACTCCAGGCAGACCATAATTGTGGTTCTGTATTCACTAATACATCAATAAATGTATTTTGTAACTGAAAGCTGTGGAAGTAGTGCTTATAAGAAGTATGCTGATAGGTGGAGGTAGCAGAAAGACAGATGGACGCATCACTGTGCTACATCTCCTTCACCGTTCAGTTAAGGGCTGGGAGGTGGGTCTATGACAGCCTGGGGTCAGAGGAAGTGGGCTGAATGATTCTGACTGAGGCTATCTAGTGGCTTAAAGAAGTAACGCTTTTGCTGCTATTGCAGCAAAAACAGCTTTTTTTAATTTTAACTTTAATGGACTGTTACATTTTTCATACTGGGCTTCTACATCAAACTCTGAATGGAGTAAATAGACAATGATCTGTATATAAACCTACTTCAAATGTTATTTTTCAATAGTTATATGATCTGATGCTTGTCCTTAAAAAAAAAAATTGAAACACGTGAAGCAAAGGCTAACCATTCACGTTGTTCTAGGTTAGCATATAAAATGAAAGCTAAGATGTAACTGATGTTGGCTATAGAGTCTAGTCCTTAGTCATACCCATCTGGTTTAAAATGAGCTGATTCTTGTTTTTCTCATAGGAAGATGCTATCAGCCAGGCCTTTAGGTACTTAAGGTTACTACAGCTTTTGGACAAGCTGGAACCACACAAGGCAACATGTTCTCAGGTTTTTGTAATCGAACATGAAAATTATGTTGATTTCAATTAAGATTTGATGGAATTGTTGTCTTGCTCAGTTCAGCTTTTGAAATTCTCAATTTCATACCTGGCATGTGATAACGAATACACAATGTGTTTTTTTAGTGTACACCCATTACCTGTACATTTATACAGTGATTAATAAATGCCTGACATGGCTTATAAACACAGTGCTCCAAACTCGAGATGGAACAAACCTCCAGTACTTGCCAATTCTATTACTATGCATTGAAGCTTGGGCGTCTTTGACAACACCCAGAATTGTCTGCTTATATGCAGTTTTTATTTCCAGAAATGTCCTTGTTTTTTAAGCACTGCCCATAGGAAAATAACACTTTTCCTCTGAATGTTAAATTTATATTTTGGAACAAATGAATGTTCTTGGTGCTTCTAAATAAAAGAATAGTAATAAATACACAAAACAGTGATTTATACTTGTATTTAATCACACCAGAAAAGCTCGTTGTACACTGATTGATATTCGGTATTTTCAGCAAGGACCAACCAAATTTCAATCAGTGTGTGGCCACCCCTGCTCAATCGTTTGACTGACTTCTGTCAAAGGTGCATTCAGGAAAACCTCCTGATGTATTCTGACTGAGGTGGGTCTCTCTATTCAAACAACAATGCATGTGTAACATGATAGTAAGAATACAGTGTCCCAGCAGAGGGGATTCCTCCATCCACCTCGTTTATGCTGATAGAGGAATCTGTGAAGGCCCAGCCAGTGCACCTTGCACTGGCACTATTTATTTAATTTTTCTTCACGTGTTTTTCACTTGCACTTTTGTCTGTGTTTTTCTCACTTGGATGGATAATATGGAATCTTGGGCCTACTCTAAAGTCTAGGGGAAGGATGTGTGGCCATGAGGTTCCTTCCTTTTCTGAAACAAGGTGTCTCTCTTTGGGGGAGCCCCTCACCTAGTACAGAGTTGTTGGCTTTGACTGACTATAAGGAAAAGGGTCTGCCAGGTCTATTGGCTAGTTGGACCAAATTGAGCCTTGTACCTGTCAGGAGCCTAGTGCCTTGGAGGGTCAGAGTAGAGTCTCTTTCTTAGGGAGGTGGACTGTTTTTTCACATGTACTTTTTTTTGTACACTTACGTGTTTTTTTTTTTTTGTTTATTTTTTGTGTACTACTGAGGGTGAAAGAAAATCTCTTAATTTTATCCATTTAGCCCACTGGCTGGAAAAAAAAATAGTCGTCTATGGCCAGCTGAAGAATAGTAATTTTGCACTAATCATTTGAAAGATCGATTCAGGAGTAGTGTAAATACCTCTTACTTAAAGAAAAAAAAATGATCCGCGAAACCCAATCCAGACCTTGGAGAATAAGTTTTATGCGCTTGTCTATCAAAATGGTTGAAGTCATAATGATGAATCACAAAGTGCAATAATCCATAGCAACCACATTTTAGCTCATTGAAGTCATATAAAAGATGAATATAGCTGGTATGGGTTGCAGCATTATGTATATATAAATATTTTGTCTTATTTATTAAGCCCATTAGAATGCTATGTAATATTGTCTGTAATGTTTCTCGGCAAGAGGTGGATGTGGTGACATGAGTGGAGCTAAATAGTATTAAATGATAGTAAGAATAACATGCTCACATGCTAATTAAATTACCATATGCCAATTCTTGCTGATATGTATCTGCATATCAAAATGTTTTGCTGAAGCAATGTTCCAGTGATAAAGTCTAATTTAATACATTTACACAGCATATGGACATGTAGGCTAGCTTCCCTAAATAAAACAAAAACTCAAGGAACCCATTCATACAGTATTCAGTTTTTTCATATGTATTGGAATGCAGATTATTACTTATATCATATATCAGTCTGACACTTTTAATTACAGCCATGAAGCCGTATGATATTGTGTCAAGGCAAACAGCACAGCAGCTCAACGCGATGGTAGTGTCAATCAAGTAGGTTGTGTTTCTTCTTCATATGACAGCTACGCATTAGCTTGTTTACTAAATTATATTCTAGAGCAGATTATAAACAAGTACGTAAAAAATGTATATTTAAACAAAATCTAAGATAACCATGATCAAGATAGCCTTTGGAAAATACAAAATGATGTGCTTCTAATTTCAACAATTTAAATGTTGGAGCAATGGTGTCAATGTGTGCAGAGTAAAGCTGGATAAAAACCTAATAATGCCTCAGGGACAGATTAGTTTCCAGGCCTCCCAGCTTTTATTATTTCTACTTCATGAAGTCTGTGCTACTGTTACTGGTCTGTGAAGATTTCACTAGGTGTGAAATTAATTCCAGCCTGGCAGCCAGTTAAGTAAATTTGATTTTCCTTTTCAGATTTCTAATAATAAAAGCTAGAGTGCTGACTATATAATATATGATATTTACAAGTAATATAAATGGTTCTCAAGACAATCACATGCATGACAGATAAAAAAAGAGGCGCCTGGTTATGTGTCATTGCAAAATTAATTTAATCAAATTTGCTCTTCACCAATGTTTCCTTGCAGCAGGGGACTTTACCTAAGTACTAGTCATGGACCACGCAATGAAATATGGAGAATTGTTAAATAAATCATCTTGTTTTAGTTGAAGTAGTTGCATATAGCTCAGCAAAGAGCTACACAGTTTAGTAATAGGCAGTCGTGATTCATACATTCCATACTTTTATGCAGATTGGGCAATCTCCATGCATATGCTCTGAAGAGTAAAACAAATATCAGAGTCTACAATTTTCCTGGCTTTCAAATTGATGTTCCCATCACTATTTCTCAGAAAAACCTCACTCAACATCTATCAACCTCAAAAGAAGTAAAAAACAAGGCTTGGAACTTTGGTCAAGCCCTGGTGTGAGGGTTGGCCAAACAACAGAAAAATCTCTTAATCTTAAAATATTCTTTTATAAAAGAAAAGAAACCAATCCAATCACTGTAAACATTGGCTATTAAAGTGTATTTCCACCTTTGCAGCCACATTGGGATAACACCCAATTTATAATTGTTACATTCTCCATTCGCATAGCATAACTTATAAGAGAAGAATGGGATTCATAAAAAAATATACTGTATATACAGCACCATGAAAAAGTATTCATATCCCTTGAAATTTTCCACATTTTGTCATGGTACAACCAAAAACGTAAATGTATTTTATTGGTATTTTATGTAATAGACCAACAAAGTGGCACATAATTGTGAAGTGGAAGGAAAATGATAAATGGTTTTCAAAATTTTTTACAAATAAATATCTGAAAAGTGTGGCGTGCATTTGTATTCAGCCCCTTTACTCTGATACCCCTAATTAAAATCTAGTAGAACCAATTGCTTTCAGAAGTCACCTAATGAGTTAATAGAGTCCACCTGTGTGTATAAATACAGCTGTTCTGTGAAGCCCCCAGAGGTTTATTAGAGAAAGTCAGTGAACAAACAGCATAATGAAGGCCAAGGAACACACCAGATAGATCAGAGATAAAGTTGTGGAGAAGTTTAAAGCAGGGTTAGGTATTAAACAAAAATCCCAAGTGTTGAACATCTCACAGAGCACTGTTCAATCCACCATCCGAAAATGGAAAGAGTATGGCACAACTGCAAAACCACCAAGATATGGCTGTCCACCTAAACTGACAAGCCAGGCAAGGAGAGCATTAATCAGAGAAGCAGACAAGAGGCCCATGGTAACTCTGGAGGAGCTGCAGAGATCCACAGCTCAGGTGGGAGAATCTGTCCACAGGACAACTATTAGTCATGCACTCCACAAATCTGGCCTTTATGGAAGAGTGGCAAGAAGAAATCCATTGTTGGAAAAAAAGCCGTAAGAAGTCCCATTTGCAGTTTGCGAGAAGCCATGTGGGGGACACCGCAAACGTGGAAGAAGGTGCTTTGGTCAGATGAGACCAACATTGAACTTTTTGACCTAAAAGCAAAATGCTATGTGTGGCAGAGAACTAACACTGCACATCACCCTGAATACACCATCCCCACCATGAAACATAGTGGTGTCAGCATCATATTGTGGGGATGCTTTTCTTCAGCAGGGATAGGGAAGCTGGTCAGAGTTGATGAAAAGATGGATGGAGCCAAATACAGGGCAATCTTAAAAGAAAACCTGTTAGAGTATGGAAAAAACTTGAGACTGGGGCAGAAGGTCATCTTCCAGCAGTACAATGACCCTAAACATACAGCCAGAGCTACAATGGAATGGTTTAGATCAAAGCATATTCATGTGTTAGAATGGCCCATTCAAAGTCCAGACCTAAATCCAATTGAGAATCTGTGGCAAGACTTGAAAATTGCTGTTCACAGACGCTCTCCATCCAATCTGTCAGAGCTTGAGCTATTTTGCAAAAGAAGAATGGGCAAAAATGTAACTCTCTAGATGTGCAAAGCTGTTAGAGACATCCCTGAAAAGACCTGCAGCTGTAATTGTAGCGAAATGTGGTTCTACAAAGTATTGACTCAGAGGGGCTGAATACAAATATATGCCATACTTTTCAGATATTTATTTGTAAAACATGTTGAAAAAAATGTATTATTTTCCTTCCACTTCACAATTATGTGCCAATTTGTGTTGGTCTATCACATAAAACCCCAATAAAATACATTTACGTTTTTGGTTGTAACATAAAATTTGAAAAATTTCAAGGGGTATGAATACTTTTTCAAGGCACTGTATATAGTATATACACACCTAGCTGGATGCAGCATCGGTCTGGTGCTGCATCTGTCCCCTGCCACTTCTAAGACTGAGAACTGATCGATCAAAGACCTCCGATCGCTTAGTTCTCAGTCTTCAGTGAGCAGAAAGCCAGAGACTGTCAGTCTGGCTCTCTGCTCTGCCCCTTCAGCGTTCACTGGAGCACAAGGCTGTGGAGGGGGCAGGAACCGCTAGCTTAGGCTCTCAGCAGCTCACTGAGAGGCTGGACCAGCTGCCGGTTCAGGCATCTGGGTGAATCCCAACCCCATGGTCGGGGTCTTTTCAGAGCCTGGACAGGAGTGTCTAACGCTCCTGATCCATCACAGCTGCATGTCTTATTCCAGCATTCTGGTTTTGGCTATGATGCACTCTCCCTGTCTGTCTGTCCACCTGCAAGGTGATTGATGTGGCCAGTTTCTGGGTGAACAAACCTTATTTAATCCTGCCAAGCTTGCAGTCTCATGCTTGTGGTATCGCATTTGTAACAGGTGCTGCAAGCTCCCTGAGTGTCTGTTCTGCTCTGCTGTTTGGATTCCCTTGTTGACGACCTTGGATTGGATATTGACTACTCTCTGAACTCTGCCTGCCTTTTGACTACAGATCTGACCTTAACTATTCAGAACCTTGCCTGCCTTTTACCTGGACTATCATTGAACCACTCTGCCTGTCTTCCAAGCACAAGTACCTGTTTGCTTTGCTCAGTTCACGCCTGCCTCGGTATGGTGGCCAGGCACCATAGCATTGCGTATAAGTACCGGTAGGCCTACTTGCCTTATGGGAAAGGGGGCTGCTATATGTATAGCAGAAGCTAGCTATAATGTCTGACCACCTGCATGAGGGGTAGGACTGACAATATCACAAGCCTTTAACAAAAACATTTTTCTGTGAAAATGGACTCTGTACAGGCTCATTTACAGTGGGGCAAAAAAGTATTTAGTCAGCCACCAATTGTGCAAGTTCTCCCACTTAAAAAGATGAGAGAGGCCTGTAATTGGCATCATAGGTAGACCTCAGCTATGAGAGACACAATGAGAAAAAAAAATCCAGACAATCACATTGGCTAATTTGGAAATAATTTATTTGCAAATTATGGTGGAAAATAAGTATTTGGTCACCTACAAACAAGCAAGATTTCTGGCTCTCACAGACCTGTACCTTCTTCTTTAAGAGGCTCCTCTGTCCTGCACTCATTACCTGTATCAATAGCACCTGTTTTTGAACTTGTTATCAGTATAAAAGACACCTGTCTACAACCTCAAACAGTCACACTCCAAACTCCACTATGGTGAACACCAAAGAGCTGTCGAAGGACACCATAAACAAAATTGTAGATCTGCACCAGGCTGGGAAGATGGAATCTGCAATAGGCAAGCAACTTGGTGTGAACAAATCAACTGTGGGAGCAATAATTTAGAAAATGGAAGACATACAAGACCACTGATAATCTCCCTCGATCTGGGGCTCCACGCAAGATCTCACCCCATGGGATCAAAATGATCACAAGAACGGTGAGCAAAAATCCCAGGACCACACAGGGGGACCTAGTGAATGACCTGCAGAGAGCTGGGACCAACGTAACAAAGGCTACCATCAGTAACACACTACGCCACCAGGGACTCAGATCCTGCAGTGCCAGACGTGTCCCCCTGCTTAAGCCAGTACATGTCCGGGCCCGTCTGAAGTTTGCTAGAGAGCATTTGGATGATCCAGAAGAGGATTGGGAGAATGTCATATGGTCAGATGAAACTAAAATCAAACTTTTTGGTAGAAACACAACTCGTCGTGTTTGGAGGAGAGAGAATGCTGAGTTGCATCCAAAGAACACCATACCTACTGTGAAGCATGGGGGTGGCAACATCATGCTTTGGGGCTGTTTCTCCGCAAAGGGACCAGGACGACTGACCCATGTACAGGACAGAATGAATGGGGCCATGTATCGTGAGATTTTGAGTGCAAACCTCCTTCCATCAGCAAGGGCATTGAAGATGAAACATGGCTGGGTCTTCCAACATGACAATGATCCCAAGCATACCGCCCAGACAACAAAGGAGTGGCTTTGTAAGAAGCATTTCAAGGTCCTGGAGTGGCCTAGCCAGTCTCCAGATCTCAACCCCATAGAAAACCTTTGGAGGGAGTTGAAAGTCCGTGTTGCCCAGCGACAGCCCCAAAACATCACTGCTCTAGAGGAGATCTGCATGGAGGAATGGGCCAACATACCAGCAACAGTGTGTGCCAACCTTGTGAAGACTTACAGGAAACGTTTGACCTCTGTCATTGCCAACAAAGGATATATAACAAAGTATTGAGATGAACTTTTGATATTAACCAAATACTTATTTTCCACCATAATTTGCAAATAAATTCTTTGCAAATCAGCCAATGTGATTGTCTGGATTTTTTTTCTCATTTTGTCTCTCATAGTTGAGGTCTACTTATGATGCCAATTACAGGCCTCTCCCATCTTTTTAAGTGGGAGAACTTGCACATTTGGTGGCTGACTAAATACTTTTTTGACCCACTGTATTTGCTCAGGAGATTTGCAAACTGTACACCAAGTCCAGGAACTGTCTGTGCATGTAAACACACCTCCAGCAGCAATGCAGGAACCAGAGCCCAAGGTTAATCTGCCTGGCCATTTTTCTGATGACCTTCATATGTTTTCTAACTTTAAAAACAGTTGTATGCTATATTTTAAAATTAGACCACATTTTTCTGGTTCTGAAGCACAGCGGGTTAATCTGATTTTTACATGATTGCAGTTGGATCCCCAGTCTTGGGCTTTTAGTCTCCCTGCAGAAGACCCAGCTCGAGGGTCAGTTGAAGCATTTTGTAAGGCCCTGGGTTTACTCTATGATGATCCTGACTATGCCTACTCAGCAGAGACTAAACTAGTTCACTACATCAGGGTAAATGCACTGCTGAGCAATACTGTTCTTATTTGCGCTGCTGGGCACCTGATTCAGGGTGGAATGACCCAGCTCTAAGAAGCCAGTTCAGGTTAGGCTTCTCAGACTCCATTAAGTACTCTTTAGTTCACTACCCTGAACAAAAGTCATTGAATGAAGCCATGCAAGTATAGACATGTATAGACAGACAATTACGGGAAAGGCGTACAGAGAGGTTTGTTTCGTTGACCCCTGGTACACTGCCCACTTCCTTATCAGCCCTTCCTGGGTCCTCTCAATGTCTCCAGGAGGAACCCATGCAAATTGGCGCTACTCTTTTATCCTCTGGGGAAAAGGCTAGGAGAAGATCCTAAGGACTCTGCTTATACTATGGCAACCATCGCCACTTTGTCACCAGCTGCCCTAATAAGCCAGGATACGCCAAAAGTCTACAGCGGTTGGGGTTTGCTTCTTTAAACTTTTTGTTCCTGCACAACTTCGTTCTGCCACATTCTCTCATCACCTCTCAGCTTTCATTGATTCTGGATAACTTGTCCCCAAGTTATGCTGCCTCTGCCGATGTGATCCAGTCTGCCTCTGCACTGGTTATTCTGGTCCAGCCTATGCCAATTGAGCCTCCTGTTTTTTCATATTCGGGACTTTCAGTAACCTGGCCTCACCCTGCTGCAACTACAACTGCTCAAACCTGTCTAAGAAGTTCCATCCATCCTTTGGATATACTACCCCATTCAGCCAGGCGGGGGCTCTCGACCTTTTCTTCAAGCCACTCTGCATTCAGCCTGTGTTCCAGATATCCAGTGTGACAGGAGTGACTTTTGGGGGTGGGGGGGACCTCTGTATCATCTTCCCAAATTCCCATTATGTTTAAGGCAACCTGTGCCTGTTAAGGGGTACAGGGTGTGTATGTGAATGTCTGAGTGTTGTGTTTAGTGTGTGTTCCTTTGTTCTCAGCCACATGGCTGTCCATTGTCTGTTTGCCATGTGCTACCCCCCATTGTGCTGTGTCTTCCTGTCCAGCCAACTATTATGGGATGTACTGTTTGTGTATTGGTGTGGGGGTTGGTCAATGTCCTTTGCCATGTGCTTCATCCCATTGTTCTGTGTCTTGGTTGGATGGGGAGGGGTGATGATGTATTTCCTGTTCTTGGTTGTGTTTCCCCGCCCTCTGTATATATCCTGTGTTTTGTGTTAAAATAAAAAGAGTTGGCTTCCTGTTTTAAGAAGAGCTGGGTGCTGTCTTTTTCCTGAGGGATTTCAAGGGTGTGGTCCGTGGATGGTGTTCGGACAGGGGAAGCTGTGGTATAACGGAAAAACTCAGTGCGGTCTGGGTTCCGGTTCCGTTACATCCAGCTTAACTACAGTGACATGTTGTGACAGACCCAACCAAGACAGGGTCTTTTGGAGAAGGCTGCAGGCTAGCCTCTTGCCTACTGACTATGGGCCCTGTTTTTTGAGGGGGCTCTATTCTTTGGTCGGTGTGTCCCTGGGGTACCTTTTTGGAGTAGTTTTACTTCAGATTCAAGGCCATGTCTCCCGAAAAATATATAGCATTGCCTGCTTCAACCCCCCTCCTAAACTCAGATACTCTAAGCAGATGTTAATATAATTAGCTAAAAACAACCTGATGCTAAAGCCTCTTGCTGTAATCTGTTTATTAAGGTGTGATGTGTTTACTGTATTACTTGTCTACCGTCTATTTACCGTGTCTTTGTAAATTGAGTCACCTATTGTTTCTGTCTGTTGGTTAGTCCTCCTGGAGGTTCCTACATGATGGGATTAGTTTGGTGTCAACATGACCTTGTTCCCTAATTAGTGTGGAATTATATCCCAATGTGTAATGTTTGTCTTTATCGTTCATGTAGGGACTGTCCCTATTTCTGAAGTGTATAAAATTCTGTATTTCTGTGCAATAATCAGTTCCAGTTACACCTAAACTAGTGTCATCTAGACCTTGGGTGCAATGTCCAGCTACAATACCTTGGTTCTGTGTCCCAGCAGTGAGGAAGAAGTTCTCTGATGAAAGCACCCAGGCAGGGTGCCAGGCGGTCCATCACACGTCACTTGCTATCCAGCCTGACATTACTGGTTGTCTGTCTACTGTCAAGTTTGGCTCCATAGACTCTGCCTGCAAACCAACCTGACCTCTCTGGTCCCCTGATCTTTGTCCAGCTTGATGGTCCTGTGCCGCATCTTCAGCCTCTTGGCCCTGTGCCAGATGCCCCTGATGGTCCGGTGCTTAATGTCCAGCCTGCCTTTAAAGATCCGGGGGCCCCTCCTTAGAGGGGGGTAATGTCAGGAACATCTAGTGCTCCTGATCCATCACAGCTGCTGATCTCATTCCGGCATCCTGCTTGCTGTACTTCTTTTCAGTGCACACCACTGAAATGCGGTGGTGTGAACTGGGCAGAAAGGAGATTGGGCATTTTACCTTATCTTGCGGCAGAACTGCGTTGAAATAGCCGCTCAATGCAATCCTACTGCATCTGGTGTGAATGTACCTTGGGAACACCAGCTTTGTCTTTGGCACTAGTTACAATTTCACATTCTGAATGTACACAAATCTTTCCTACAATAAAAAACGTATTCCAAGATATTAGTCTTTTTAAAAAAAAATGGTTCTCATAATGTATTTTCTTTTTTTTTTCTTAGCTACCGACTGGCTCCCAAGTATCACTTTCCAACACAGTTTGATGATGTGTATGCTGTAGTGAAGTTCTTCCTACAGCACAGTATCCTTGAAAAATATTCAGTCGACGCAAGTCGGATAGCTGTGTCTGGCGACAGTGCAGGGGGAAACTTAGCTGCAGCAGTAACCCAAGAGGTACTACTTTCAGTTCAATAAACGTAAATTTTTACAATGGAAAACATGCCAATTCTTACTGGAAGAATTAATTAAAATAATTGGAAAATATGTGTTACTATCACTGATGAAAAGATATTCAATGTTAAAATGATAAACTTTTCCCATATAGGTACAGTATGTTCAACTGTAGAATTGAAAACATATACGTAGATGTACAAAGTTACTTTTGTATTATATACAGTATGTCTATTGAGGGGGGTAAGTAAGTAACCTCAGCTGGACCCAAACTACATCTTCAGACATTTGAAATGTATAATGTATATACTGTAAATTACTTGTTCCACTTTCCAGAATATCTGTATTTAGGTTCAGTCAATCTTGTGAGTCATACACCATGCCACACTGTGTAGATGGGTGGATGACATCTGAAGCTCCCAGCTCCCTTTGTCAACTCCAATACACTGCCTGAAACAATTTGTGAATAGGGGGGGGGGGGGTGTCTGATCATTCATAGGATTCTCTCCCTCATTAACAAGTCATTTTACAGTCAGTGTGATCAGTGAGATAACTTCACAATGGAGGAGAGGGCAGGAGGGGGCATGTCCCCATTGGATCATCTTTATTGCAGCTGAGTCCATGGAACTAAAGCTCATAACAGCCACAGCATTGGAAGTTCAGCAGCAGGAAGAGGACAGGGCAGCCCTGCAATGAAGAGTTCTACAGAATCCAGCAGTCTGCACATTGTGGGATATACTTTACAGGTAAGTAATGTAACTAAAACTAAAGAAAAAAATGTTTTTAAGCTAAACTTCAAATTTAAACTTGCTCTCCAGGCAAGAAGTTAAGTAACCATATGAATTATATTTAAATGAGCTGTTTTACCTGCCATATAATTTGTATTTGTGTCCATCAAGTTCAGAAATTGACCCATCCCTGACACACGGCACAGCCCTGTCTATCATAGGTCTATCTTAGGTTTATCTGCTGTGGTTTCACTGACAGGTCCACCACCCTGTGACTGAATAGACAGACTGAGAGGCTGAACAAGCTGCTGGTCAAGGTGTGTGGGTGAATCCCGACATTAATGTTGGGATCTCTCCAGAGCCTGGACCTGCTCAGTGATGTCAGATGTCAGAGGAATTTAGCCTGCTGTACGTTGAAAAGGGGTTACGGAAGTGCAGAACTAAGTGTAGCCAGGTGTCGGCTATATCATTATGCCTTTCAGGGACATTTACATGTGAGACTATGATTAATCCTTTTCCCCCTAGTGCCCAATACTGGGAATGCTACATCACTTGCTATTAGCAGAGTCAATCAAGGTCTTCTGACAGTAACGGATCTTGGGACCTGTAGTCCTACAACCAATACATACTGTATTTCTGAGCGCTGATTGAACTACAACTACCAGAGAGATGGCAAACCAGATTGATGCTGACTGAGCAGATAAATTCTACAAGGGACTGGATTGCTCTCTTGGTATAGGATGTAAAGCTGCACACAGGGGGACCACCGTTTTCCTTCAGAGATAGATTGTTGGACAACTGCTGCGGGATTCTACACATCAGCTTAGCACAGCAGGGACGTTAATTGCCACATCGGGATCGCCTCAGCTTCTCTGCATCAGGATGGTGACTGTCCAGTCTTCATACAGACATCTCTGTCTGCTGCTCTGACAGGCCATCAGGTGGTAATTCTGCACTTCCCTGCAAACAGCCATGAGCCTAGGCAAGGACTCTTGTTCTTAGGAGGCCATTCTATACATGGGATTAGTAAATGGCAGATGCCCAACCTCTTTCTGTCATCACTCAAAGACAATGCGTGCAGAAACCTTTACACCTCCGTATCAGGAGATCTTTGTTTTGAGCAGTACCAAAGCCTATCTCTTTATCTTCACTGAATTATCAGTATTCACTACCATTTATGGGCCCCACCATTGCTAGCAGAAGACAACTGGCACCATCATATCAGCAACTTTAAACATCGTAGGACTCAAGTTGCAATCTCTAGTTAAGGGGACCTCTTCCCTTAAGGCCATTGTTATTCAAATTAGGATACTCACACTCACCAGCCACTTTTTAAGTACACCTTGCTAGTACCGACAAAAAGCTCCCTCTTGTCTTCAGAACTGCCTTCTACACGACATAGGTGTTGGAAACATTCCTCAGAAATTTTGGCCCATATTTAATGAGTTACAGTGGCCTTTCTATCATCTCAAACCAGTCTGCCCATTCTCCTCTGACATCAACAAGGCATTTTAGTCCACACAACTGCCACTCACTGGATATTTTTTCTTTTTCAGAACATTCTCTGTAAACCCTATAGATGGTTGTGCATGAAAATCCCAATATATCAGCAGTTTTTTAAATACTCAGGCCAGTCAATCTTGCACCAACAACAATGCCATGTTCAAAGTCACTTAAATCCCCTTTCTTCCTCATTTTGATGCTCAGTTTGAACTTCAGCAAGTCGTCTTCACTACGTCTAGATGCCTAAATGCATTGAGTTTCTGCCATGTGATTGGCTGTACTGATTAACAATTCATGTTATCAAGCAATTAAATAAGTGTACTGATTAACAATTCATGTTATCAAGCAATTAAGTGTACCTAATAAAGTGGTGAGTGTATATCTATTTATGTTGGGGGTAGCACTACATAAGTGCACACCTGTGACCCATTGAAGACATATTGCCCAAAGAGCTTTGGCCATACTTCTCCTTTATTGAGCTCAGGTCTTTATTACTCTGTACTCTCCTCCTTTCAACTATGACTCCGTCTATGAGTACTGCTGCTAAGATTGGACAGTAGAGTGCAAGAGGTTGATAGCAAGTCAAATGCAGATAAATGTTCTGCTTGCATTTACATTTAAATAAAATAGATTTCATGATGTATTACAGAGCTGCAATTTGTGTCATTTAATCTTCCTGGAGTTCAGCTTTAGGATATTTCAGAAAATAATAGCTGAGCAGGTTAGGATAAAATGTGATCTGAGAAATCATGAGTAGTGGAAGAATATCTAAATCTAACAATATTTGAATAATTAAAAGGTAGAGCTTTTTTTTAAAATAATTTAAAGTGGAACTACACTGCATCTGAGCACCACAAACCAAAAACACTATTTAAATAATTTTTAATATTCGAAGCAAACGCCCCTCTCCATCCATGTCTTTGTGCTTTATTTTGCTGAGTAATGTCTTTGAAAAACAACTCCTAGCATTTCTGGCTACAGCCATCTTGAGTAAAGACAGATGATTCATGTAGTGTCTGCATCCTGGAATCCATCTGCCCTTAGCTCAGTCATGCAGACAGGAGGGTGTGCTCAACTGAGAAAGCCCCCCCTCCTCTCCTAAAGACTCCTGGGATGTATGACATAATTTGCCTAGGCAAGAAACCATGAAGTATTATTATTATTATTATACAGTATTTATAAAGCGCCAATAGTTCGCTCAGCGCTGTACATTAGAAAGGGGGACAGAACATGTGACAGAACAATACCAATACAATGCAAAACATGAGGGGATTGAGGGCCCTGCTCTTTCAAGCTTACAATCTAGGAGGGAGGGGATGGTGGCACAGGAGCAGATAGCTGTGGGGGATGGAGTGGTAGGAAGAGTGGAGGAGGTCGGTCAAGTTAGCATAGGGTAGGGTAAGCTTTCCTGAAGAGATGGGTTTTCAGGGTGCGCCTAAAGGAGAGGAGAGTAGGTGATAATCTGATGGATTGGGGCAGGGAGTTCCAGAGGATGGGTGACACCCTGGAGAAGTCCTGGAGGCGGGCATGGGAGGAGGAGACCAGGGAACTAGAGAGAAGGAGGTCTTGTGAGGAGCGGAGTGTGCATGCTGGGCGGTACTTGGATATTAGGTCAGTGATGTAGTTCGGGGCAGTATGGTGGACAGCTTTGTACGTCAGTGTTAGGATTTTGAATTTGATCCGTTGCGCAATCCGAAGCCAGTGGAGAGATTGGCAGAGGTGGGTGGCGGAAACGGAGTGGTTGGAAAGGTGAATGAGTCTGGCAGCTGTATTCAGGATCGACTGAAGCGGGGATAGCCAGCGTGAGGCAGGCCAGTGAGGAGGGAGTTGAAGTAGTCGAGTCGTGATATGATGAGGGAGTGGATGAGCTGTTTAGTGGTTTCTGGGGTAAGGAACGTGGCAATGTTGCGGAGCTGGAGTCTGCACGAGTTTGTTAAAGATTGGACTTGGGGCTGGAAGGATAGGTTGGAGTCCAGAATGACACCAAGTACTCTGGCCTGCGGGGCGGGTTTGATGGTGGCGTTGTTGGATGTGACGGAGAAGTCAATGGGGGGTGGTGTCCGGGCTGGGGGGAAGACAAGAAACTCAGTTTTGGAGAGGTTCAGTTTAAGGAAGTGGAGCGACATCCAGTCTGATATGTTGCTCAGTAGGTGTGTGATTCGGGCAGAGACCGAGGGGGTGAGGTGGGGGGTTGAGAGATAGATTTGTGTGTCGTCGGCATAGAGGTGGTAGTTGAAGCCATGAGAGTGTATGAGTTGGCCAAGGGAGGAGGTGTAGATGGAGAAGAGAAGTGGCCCAAAGACAGAGCCTTGAGGGACCCCAACAGAGAGGGGGAGTGAGGGGGAGGTGGTAGCATTATAGGTAACGCTAAAGGAATGTAAAAAAACAAGGTCAAAACAAGTAAATATAATATACCCTCCTATCTATTTACTAGTGCTAGCAGCATAAGGAATAATAATAGTCAATGTTGATTGAGAGTGTGACAGGTACTGATACTGGTATAGGTTACCGACAGATCCACTTGAAATGTTTTTTCTTCTGGAAATGATAATTGTGTGATATACACATAGTGAATGTCCTGTAGACAAAATTAGCACGGTATTAAGAGATTACATCAGTGACTGAATAGTTATGAAAGTCAGGATCAAGATGACATCTACTGAAAATCAGTAATTGCAACTCCCATACAGTATTTCTGTCACACACAGTTTCACTTTAATTCTTCCACAGGTTGATAAAGTAAATAGTTTGTAGCATCCTGTTAAAATAAAATGCTCTTCATGCTGGTAACAAAAATAAACTATGTGTAATAAGGGCAAACATTCAAGCTCTGATTAAATTGTTTAATATAACTTTGATTTGATTTTTACAGCTGTTACATGACCCTGAAGTCAAAGTGAAACTGAAGATTCAAGCATTAATCTACCCAGTTCTGCAGAGCCTTGATCTAAACACACCATCTTACCGAGAAAATGGCAACATGCCTATACTGTCCAGGACACTCATGGTGCGTTTTTGGAGTGAATATTTTACCACTGATCGAAAATTATTTGAAGCCATGCTCTCTAACAGACATATACCATCTCAAGAAGCTCATTTATTTAAGTTTGTAAACTGGAGTGCTTTATTGCCTGATAGCCTGAAAAAAAACCACATTTACCACAAGCCTCAATATGGAGACTCAAGTTTTATAAAACAATACCCAGCAATTTTGGATACAAGAACATCTCCATTGTTATCAGAAGATGACAAATTAAAAGGTTTGCCATTAACATACGTCATTACATGCATGTATGATGTCTTAAGGGACGATGGCTTTATGTACGTATCAAGACTACGGCAAGCTGGGGTTCAAGTAACACACCACCACTATGATAGCACCTTCCATGGTATTCTTTTATTAAATACATTGCCCTTTGATTTGGATATAGCCCACCACATAGTAGAGGAATACTTAGGCTGGCTTGGTAACAATCTGTGAGAAGAGTACAGAAACCAGAAAGGTAAATAATTTTACTATAATTTTGATGCATCTCCAGATATGTGACAATTAGAACTGGGAATTGTCGTTCTATATTTCTAAGCAGGGTCTAAAATGTGAGAACCCTATACACACATACTGCTCTACTGTCCTTTTGACATTGCCATTTACTGTTCGTATAAACATAAGATGGCCATTATTCAGGAATTTTTCAACATGGGGTATCCGTAAGTAATGCTAAAACCATAAATATAACCCTGAGACGCACTGTGGATAATAAATCTGTTTAGTAGCTGTATAAAGATCATGCCTGCTCTGATAATCATATAGGAATATGTGTGCATCTGCTGAAAATTAGCTTTTTAGCGCTTGAATACTTTCCTAATGACCATCCACTATCTAATGGCTAGGGTTAACTTTATCTTTTTTTGTTATGAGCAATTCATGTTGTTTCTAAAACTTGATACCTATTAAGTTGATCTGTCTTTGTTTAACTATGTGATTACTAAAAGATAATCCAGACACAAAGACAAGCAATGGCTCCAAAACCGCTTGATTTTTTTCAACAAAAATGTATTAATTTCAACAAAAATCTTCCTTTAAAATTACCTGTAAAACCTCTCTTCTGTAGACATCCAAAAGACCAGCAGACTCAGAGCTGCCCCCTTCACTCTCCCCCCGCAGCTACATAAAGATAATGTAGGGAGATGAAAGGCGGGACAGAGGAGCTGGGTCAGCAGCACAAAGAGTAATTGGACACCCACAAAAGAGGAAAGGGCCTATGCTTGGAAATTGAGTCTATCTGTCCTAGTCAATTTTCTAGTAAGTTCAAAGGCAAGGGAATAAAAAATAATTTGTGTAAAGGACAAACACTGCAAAGAGCAAAATAAAACTTAATTTTTTTGTGATTTTATCTGCTTTTTTAAGTTGGTAACATGCAACTCTTTAGGTTTATGCACTGGTATTTTGCAAAAATGTCTGTTCTGAGATAGCATCATTCCCCAAGTCAGTAATCATGGCTAACTGTACCTCAAGAGTCCATAGACTATTAGATTCCTACATAATTTCACACTTATTTTATTTCTTCTGAAATTTGAATTGTGAATGTTTATACTTTCTATTCTTGACAGGACAATAAAGACTATTCAGGTGGGAAACTACTAAAAAGCAGTGAAAAAAATCTTTGTGTTATCACCTGGTGCCTAGACTCTAAGCCTATAGAAATACTTATCACCTGGGGGGGCCATCCTTTTTTCTACAGTCATAGAAAAGAGTTAACCCAACACATTCCTATAAACACTCAACCCACACTAATATTCAAGTGAAGACTTGGAAGTCAGCAGCTAAAATACATGGCAAACATATCCATACTAAAGAAGACTTTCGAGCCATCAGTCACATGAGATACTATGCTAATAGTTATTTCCCAACTACAAATGCTTTCAGTCTAATTTAGAAAGTTGCTGCAAAGCATTTAAGTCATGTGAATAGTCTAGTAGTGCTTTGCTACGACTGGTATCTCTGGGTGGGTATTTTTTTTTTCACCTTCCTACATGTTTGGTTATGCAATAGTCAAACTCACTAACATTGCCTAAGTAACCCTTGGGTAAATAGATTTACATGCCCATTAGTATTTAGTTAACTCATCAGTATGGGGGGGGGGGGGGGGGGGGGGGGGGGGCTACTGAATGGGCGCCACTGCCTGGCAACACGGGGGAGCCGTGCTTTACAGGCCGCCTGCCCTACTAGATTAGAGACAATAAATGAGAGTTGGCACCCTCAGATGGCCATTTCTTAGACCACCCCACCAGGCCTCACATTAGGAGGACAGTGTCTTTTCTCTAGCTTGTTGCATTGGTCTGTTCTTACCTGTGCTGGCACTAGACTACAGAGTCATTTCAGATTAACAGTGCAGAACATTAACTATCTCCACCATTTCTTCAGCACAGTACACTTGCCTTGCTCCAGCCCATACATTTGGAAAGGGACACTGTTTTGTTCGAGGCCACACTTTGGTGATCCTGTCCCTAAGAAAGCTCTGTACTGCAGCAGCCCTAATATAGGGACCCACTACTGAGAGCGGCATATTTAAACTAACACCAAACCACCCTCCTGACTGGAACTTTCCATCACAAGCCATCACTATCCCATCGATGTTACACAAGAACTTGTAATCACTATTACTCATTTACACTTTATCCTCCTTGTTGCATACACTGTGTGGGCACTCATGAGCTTATCTTCATTAGGTGACCAGACCAAATTTTGCAGAACTTTATTACTGAGGTGTAATTCACTATATTAGTACATGGATGTTACATTGCTCCCCATCAGGATGTCATCTACACAGTCATTCCCTATACAAATCACTGGTCCATAATGAACTCATTAGTTGAACATAGGTCACTGTGGTATAGGCATTACTGATAACAATAGTCTACTCGGGGTAGCATAAACTAAGCATTGTTTTAGGCTGTACAATGGTGTGCATACTTTGGCTCATTCACTTCCCATACATGTGGCTGGTAACTTTACACTCCCCAACTCCATGTCCTCCCTCCTTCACTAACAATCACAGTGCAGGATGTGTAGCCTTCCCTCCTTTCCCACAGAACCAAAAAAGAGCTATGTTCTGCTCATCTATATACCTTCATAACAGAAAATGACCTCCTTTCCAGCCAACGCATCACAACACACAATTAACCCCATTGATACCGGACCTTAATACATATATGAATACTGTGACTATATAAGCACCTGCCAGCAAGCTCATGTTTAGCATATTAGCTGAGTACTTTAGTTATTTGATAATGACTCCATCAAAACATCACTGAATGCTTCAACAAAATGGTGACTGTCTACAGACACCAACTGCCTGTTGCATAAATATGAATGAGATGGGTAAGAGATGGCTTCAGCTCCTGTTCTCCACCTGTAGAGAACTCCTCAGATGCATTTAACCCTTTTTGGGCCTAAATTGTGGTGGCCTCTACAATTAAGACTCCAAAAGAGTGAAATTCGCCTGAGGAGTTTTCTATAGGTGGAGAACAGGAGCTGAAGCCATTTCTACCGATCTCATTCATATTAGCATTTATGCAATAGGCAGCAGGTCACCATTTTGTTGAAGTCTACTAGAGCCTGACACGCCACTCCTGTCTGTCTTGCACCAGTCTATTCACATGCTGATCCAACTGACACAGGTTTAGGGGGCATTTGAGTAGTACCTTTTTCGTTGTTTTGGGCTACATTACTGAATCTCTGTTGAACAGACAGCTTTCTGACTTAAATGTGCAAGCTTTAAGTCAAAACTGTAGATGGTGTAACCTATAACTGTTATATGTTTTCAGTCAATGCCAAAGATGGTGAGACATCTGTTATATGTTTTCAGTCAATACCATAGATGGTGAGACCTATAACTATACTATATATATATATATATATATTTGCATGCCTAATTATCTTACTGTAAATATGGTGTCTATAGCTGGTATACAATCACTTCTTTAATAATGGTTTAGCACTCTGCTTCAGGGTAGTCATGAGTTTATGTATAGTTGGACCTATATTCTTAAACGTGCTTCTGTTCTTGTAAATCATAAAATGTTGGGTTTCCTAGCAGCAAATGGCAGCTCAGGAAGTCTATAAATTTCTTGTTGAAAGGGTATTCCTACTTTGAAATACTGATGTGGTGTTTGTGGTTAAAATGATCCTGAGACCAGTGATCACGTAACTATCACAATGTTAAGCTATGCTGGAAAGATCTCCAGCAGTGAGGTGGACCAAATGAGGCTAACCACCCCAATCTGGGAAAAGAAGAAAATTATTGCAAACCCTAGGGCCAAACCCCTGCATGGGCTGTAGTTAGTATGGTGCAATGTTCATAAGGAAGTACAGTAGTCAACTTTTGCTAGAACTAGAGAGATCACTGTGGCTTGAAGAACTGTTCTCAATCTATAAACCGATCACCTCAAAAGTGTGCAAGGGCACTTATTTGTAGCCAAAGCTCCGTGATCAGTAAAATCTAATATTTAAATCACAGCAATCTGTAGGTGGCAATTTACATTATACAGTTCTTGATGTTCCCATGTTGGTGTCTTACAGCTGCTGTTATTTTTATTATTAGTTTTGACTTCAGTTACTTTAGAACAGAACCTCTAGAAAAAAAGTGAGATTTATGCTTTTAGAAAGTAAATGTCACTAAAATGTTTTACCTTAAGTGGGATTGTGAGTTTAATAATAAGGTGCAAGGATGAATGAACAGTTGTACTCACTGCCAATATATTATATGCAGAAATCCTCTGTCAGATAGGCTTTTGTTCGAGAGTTATACAAAAAACTACCATTTTCACAGAACTAAACACTAATATCTGAATAAGATCAAGTTGTTTTAACCCAACTGAAGATTATAATTGAACATGCCAGTTCTCAGACACCATTATATAAGGTCTCATTCACACCTGAGCATTTTGTAGCCTTTTTCATTCCCATAGGAATATATGAAAACGCGCAAATCACATTTTTATGCGCTTTAACACATTTTGTTGCACGACCAAGAGCATTTTTCTGACTTGGCAAAACATGGCAACAACTGATGTCATAGACAAAATTTTTCTCTATTGGCTAATACCAGACCTAAAAAAGCCAAAAACGCCTGAATAAATCATGCACAAAGGTTTGTATAAAAGCACATGAAAAAATGCACAACAACACTATGCTCAGGTGTGAATGGAGCCTAAAGGTTAACTGCTATTGCTCGCCTCCTCTCAAAAATACAAGTTGCCTGGCTGTCTTTGGCTTTAGTACTTTGAAGTACAGTATGTCTAAGCTCCACTCCAGAGTGAAAGCATTAGAAGGGGAAGCCAAAGCAGACTGTGCATTGATCCTTAGAAAGGAATTTAAGCCTAGCGTGCAGCCCCTAATTCTGTTGATCTGAATCCATAAGATGGCTGGTGGGCTGGCATCGGGTCTGGTAGAGTGAAAGGTAGAGAGTAGTGATGGGC